TTTGAAGCCAGGAGCCAGGAGCTTCTTCCAGGTCTCCACATGGGTTCAGGACCCAAGCACGTGGACCATCCTCTGCTGCCTTCCCAGGCTGTAAGCAAAGAGCTGGATCGGAAGTGAAGGAGCTGGGAATCAAAGCAGTACGCATATGGGATACTTGCACTGTGTGGAGGGGTAGCCTCCTGTCCTTCCACGCTGGCCCCTTGAGGTCATCCTAGTTGTCTGGGGTGGGTGGCATCTTGAGAGGGGAGGTTTCAGCTTGGGAAGTGGCTGGTGCAGATTTGCTGGGTAGAAAGGAGCAGTTAGACAAGCTGTAGCCACTGACTCTCTTATGCTGAATCCTCCAGTGTAGACAGCCATCTGGTTGGATCAGCCTTTGTGATACGGACAACATGAGTTTTTCCCAGTGTTAGAAGGGAAACTCATATGCCAATAAGCAAAGTGCCCTTATGGTCAACGAACAAGTTCTGGGCATTAGGGGACTGGGTCAGTTCACACAGCTCCCTGTGTGTATACTGAATCTCCATTCTCTGCTGAAAGTAGGTGCTTTCCATGGTTGACATAAATGGGCAGCTAACGCCAAAAGAGAGGGCTCAGGCACCCGCTTAATCAGGCAGGAAGGAGAACACAGCAAGCTTCCTCTTCAACAGGAAGTCAGCTTCTGTTTTCATTTCGTTTTCTGTTCTGGTATGATGATAAACGCCTCCACTAGGCTGCTCTTCGGGGCAGGGCAGGGTTCCAATAACTAAAGCGTTGCTGGATACAGTGATGTCCTCATGGGTGGGGAGGAGCCTCCCATCCTGGGCTGAGTCTGAGCAGATGTCCGACCCAGCTTCCAGGGGCTTCAGGGCCCCAGTGCTCCCCATGGGGGATGTGACAGGTGCAGTTCTCGGAACATGCCCTCTACAGAGTGATGAGGACAGCCCATCTGCCTGCACAGCCACTACACACACAGATGCCGTCCCCTCCCCACAGCACGTACAGCGGCTGTGCACACGGTGCCGTCCCCTCCGCCTCCCCGCAGCCCTGCACATGCAGCACCGTACTCTGTGAGGTCTTAGTGTGCCTTTCCAGAGGACCGTACTGGTATTCTCATTTGTACTGTCTCCCTGTTGTCCTCCTGATGCCTCTGTGGTATCATAGTTCTGGTCACTGCAGCTCGATGCTTGGGGTCATTGGGGTGAGTGGCTAGTCCTTGAGCTCAGTCACAGCCTGAGATTCAGTAGTGGGGTCTGTGTCACCAGAGGGTCCTGTCTTTTGGCTTCATCTGAGGATCACCCAAGGACCTGGCCTCTGGACGTGGAGCAGGGCCTCTGTGACCCTGAGGATCCACCCAAGGACCTGGGCTCTGGGGGAAAGTCTGTAGAACACAGAACAGGACCTCTGTGACCTTGAGCCAGCAGCTCAGGGCTGATCCCCATGCCCACAGCTCAATCCACAGTCCTGCTCTTTCTGGAAATGTCCGCCTGTACCAGGGTTCCTGCAATATGGGGATGACAGGAAACACCTGAGGGATTGGAGCAGGATGGGGTGAAGTGCCCAGGATGGGTGGGCAATGTACCCAAGGCCTGCAGTCTTAACCCTCAGCAACAGACGGACACGGAGGTGGGACCACCTCTTCGAGGCAGTATCGACAGGGTTCCACAGTGGGTCCTGTGGTGGCCGCACCTCCTAATTATTTAATTCCATGCAAGAGCCAGGAGGCCTGGCCAGGGCAGAGGATCCAGCCAGGAGTGTGGAGATGCCTGGCTTCTGCTCTGGACGGGCGTAGGGATGAGTGGGGAGGGAACAGGCGTGTGTCTGCTGGGCTGCGGCGATGGGCTCCGCACGGCTGCTCTGTGGGGGTTGCTGATACTCCCGCAGTCCAGGGCAGCACCAACATCCTCTGGGTAGAGTCACAGGTGCCAGGTGCCCACATGCCTGAGAACCGACACCTTTCACCTCTGGTTAAGTTTATTCCTAAGGGTTTTACACTATTGGTGCTATTTTGTGAGGAACTTTTTGCTTACTGTCCAGTTCAGATTCTGTATGGAAATGCTAACAATTTATTTATTTATTTAGAAGGTAGTGTTAGAGAGATAGAAAGAGAGAGAGAAATCTTTCATCTGCTATTTCTTCACTCTCCAGATAGCCACAAAAGCCTGGCCCAGCCGGGAGCCTGGAGCTGTAGCAAGGCCTTCCATGAGGCTGCCAGGGGCCGTCTCCCCTGCTCGCCCACGTGCATATGCTGAGTGCCACCTGGGAAATGGAACAGCCGGGACTCAACCCAGTGCCCGTATGGGATGCCGGTGTCGCAGGTGGCAGTTTAACTTGCTGTGCTAGTATGCCTTCCGCAGTTCAGTTGAGGTTTCCTTTTGAGTCTGAGGTTTTCCACACAGTCACCTCTCCCTTGTGCAGAGCACTGGTTTCAGACCCCAAGTGCACACTAAGCCTCAAGTCTGGTGTATCAAGTGGCACACTGGATGTAACCTGTGCATCTTTACGTCAGAACAGAGTGGAGATGCCATGTACGCGGTTATCACAATCTATGCTTAGAGGAAAACAACAAGAAAATGCCTGCACATGCTCAGTGCACACCCTGTTTTCCTTTCAGATATTTTTGGTTCTTCAGTTAGTTGAATGTGGGGGGCAGCTGCATAGCCCGCGAACACAGGCAATGTGCATGTTCCTGGGCTTTGGGGATGCCTTGCGTTTGCTCCTCTTTCGAGTTGTTGGGCAGGTGCTTGCTCTGTGAGGGTTAAAGCAGCACAGGAGGGGCGGCCTTGCCTCCCACCGGAGCGGAGGAGCTGGCAGCTTCCCCACCGAGGGCGAGCTACCGTGTGCTTTCCGTATTCCCCACCGCACTGAGGCACCGTATTCTGCACCTGCTTTGTTAACGGCTATAGTCAGGACATGTGCTGGGCTTGGCCGAATGCTTTTTGGTTTTATTTTTATTCTTCATCCGTTGAGGAAATCGGGTTGTGTTTGATTTGAGGGTGCGGAGGCATCCATGAATCCTTGGATGAATCCAGTCTTGTCACGGTACTCCCCTCCGTGTGCTGTTGAACTCCGTTGGATGTATTTTAGTAAGGATCGATGGGTCCAGTTAGTCGTAGCTGTCAGCGTTTCGACGTGGCGGGTGTTTACCTGGTCGTGATGTTGGCCCCGTAAAACTCCTCTGCTTTAGAAGGGTTCGTAATGTTTGATGTTTGGCTTTCTTTGAAAATCTGAATATGTATTGGAGTCTTCCAACTTTTTGTTTTGTTTTGCTAAGGGTTTATCCATTGCATTTCTCTTTTCAAAAAGAACATGATTTTTGTTTTTAAAAATCCTTTTATTCTCTATGTGATTTCAATGCCTGTTCTAATTCTATTATTTCTTTTCACAATAGACAATTTATTCTCTTTCTAGTTCCATAAAGTTAGGTTTGTATGGGAGGGCTTCCTTCCTTATCAACAAGGCATTTATTGACATGATTTTCCTCTTATTATTGTGTGTGTGTGTTGGTTTTCTTAGGGTGCCCCCACGTTACCACAGGCTGTCTTTAATCTCTTTTAAACCCATCGTATTTCTGCTCCACTGATTAAGCCCTTTCACACGTCACTGACCTTGTGTTCTTGCCAGGTCTGCTGTGTCGCTCGCTATTAGAATTTTCAGCAAAGTTAATGGATTCTATCTCTCTTTTGCACTGTAGCTGTTTCTTTGTCAGAGTCCGTGTTGTTTGAGCAGTTTTCCTGATTTTCGTCAGAGTTTCTCTGCGTACCCCTCGCTTCCTTCTCCTTTAGGAGGGCTACTCAGTTCTCCATCAGCCATCTCTTCAGTGTCTGTTTCCTGGTCCAGGATGGAGCTTTGTTTATCCAACTTTCCACATGTTCATGCCACCCCTTCAGGCTGTTAGAGAGAAAGACTTCACCCTGTATTCTTTGCAGGAGTCTGGGTGTGCTGGCTGGCAGCCACCCCCGAAGGCAGATCTTGGGATTGGCTTAGCCAAGTGCCCTGAGGTGGACGTGCACTGCTGCCTCTGCTGTGTGATCCAGGGAGTTCATCCTGTGCTCTGTAATAACCCTGGTCCCCTCAGACATGCTGCTGCGATTTTACAAATGAGGGGGCGATGTTACCACTCAGGTTCTTCTTGGACAGAATGATCAGCTTCCGTTGCGCTGCAGAAGCGAGGGTGACGTGGTACTCCAGTTGCTGTTGCTCATTTTTTCCTCTCTGGTTTGAACACTAGCTGTTAGGCACGCAGCCGGAAGCAAATGGTGTGCCTTTCAACACCCACAACACGAAATTGCATGGCACCCTCAGAATCCAGTCTAGGGGGCTAAATAGAAGAACATGCTGCCTGGGTTCCTGCCGTGTGGAGCACGCCACGTCCCACCTGTGTGCTCTGTTCCGAGTGTTGGCATGGGCGCCCACACAGTCCTCCCGGCGGCGTGGGGGAAGGACAGGAGTCACCATTTCATCCAGTTTTCCCGACTGCAGGAAAGAGGCTGGATTTGTAGCAGCTAATGGGATGAACTTAGAGGTGTGGGGGCAGGAGGAATTGTGGGGACCGAGAAAGAGAGGCTCTTTTGGTCCCAGCTCCTCTGGAAGTTGAAGGTATGTGAGATGGGGGGCAGGCTTCGCTTCCCAGCAACCCCAAGATAGTCAACAACCCACTGCTGTGAGGACTTGAGTCCGCCCTGTCACTCAGGTCCCCAGTGCTGTGAGGGCCCGAGCCCACCCTGTCACTCAGGTCCCCAGTGCTGTGAGGGCCCGAGCCCACCCTGTCACTCAGGTCCCCAGTGCTGTGAGGATCTGAATCCACCCTATCACTCAGGTCCCCAGTGCTGTGAGAATTATTCGTGTCTTCCTCCCTGCTAGACTGTTGGCCAGTGAGTGCACATGTGCCATGTGCCTCCATGGGCAAAGCTGGCATTCAGTGCTGTTGAGGTCTGGGGTCTGAAGAACTGCTTCTGGAGTCGTGGCTGGGGTACTTTTGGTTACACACAACTAGGAGGCTAAGGGTCTCATCCCAGAAACTGTCAAGTCCGCCAGGCCCTGGAGAGCGATGGAAAGGAGCCCGCTAGCTTTGGCAGGTGGTGTCCACAGGTGCTCCTCACGGCCGCCATCACATCCTTGTTCCTCAGGCTGTAGATGAGGGGGTTCAGCATTGGGGTCAGGATGGCATTGAACATGAAGAGAGACTGGTTTAACTTAGGGGTCCTGGAAGAGCCGGGCTGCATGTACACGAGGATTGCAGGACCAAAGTAGAGGCTCACCACGCACAGGTGGGAGGAGCAGGTGGCCATGGCTTTGTTCCTGCCCTCAGGGGAGTTCATGCGGAAGACAGCGAGGAAGATGAGGGCATAGGAGGTGAGGATAAGGCTCAAGGGAATGAGGACCACCAAGAAGCTGGAGACTACCACTGACTGCACATAGGCAGAGATGTCCTCACAGGTGAGCTTGAGCAGAGCCATGACCTCGCACAGGAAGTGGGGCACCTCCCTGGGACGGCAGGTAGGGAAGTGCATGGCATAGGCCGTGTGAGCCAGAGACGTCACTGCCCCTCCCACCCAGGACCCCATGACCATGCGAGTGCAGGCCTTGTGGCTGACGATGCTGGGGTACCTCAGAGGCCTGCAGATGGCCACGTAGCGGTCGAAAGCCATGAAGGTGAGCAGGAGGCACTCGGCAATGCCCAGGGTTAAGCTGAAGAAGATCTGGGCCCCACAGCCTACCTGCGAGATGGTCCTCTTCCCCGAGAAGAAGTCTGTGACCATTTTGGGGACCGAAGTTGAAATCAAAGCCAAGTCAATGAGGGACAGCTGGCTGAGCAGGAAGTACATGGGGACGTGGAGCCGAGTGTCCAGCCAGATGAGGCAAATGAGGACAACGTTAGCCATGACGGCCACAGAGTAGACCAGGAGGACGAAGCAGATAAGCACAGTGAGGTGGCTGAATTCTGACCAGAGCCCTAGGAGCACGAAGTCAGTGCTGACGGTGTCATTGTGGTCCTCCATGGCTGGCCATCACCAGAGCCCTGAGAACCCGGGGAGGGATGTGGCCCTCCATGGCTGGCCATCACCAGAGCCCTGAGAACCCGGGGAGGGACGTGGCCCTCCATGGCTGACCATCACCAGAGCCCTGAGAGCCTGGGGAGGCATCTGGGTTGCCTCTGATGGTGCATTGCCCCCGTGCCGCCCATATGCCTCCCTCATTCACAGGACCCCTCCAGATAGGACTTTGATGGCAGTTTTCCTCACCGTGGACTCAGTGTCAGCACACATGACTCTCCTGCATTTTCTCTGTGGATTGCCTGGTGAACTTGTGTGTCTGAGATTGTAAACTATTAACAGTAGCCATGTAAGGACATAAGTCCCTCCTAATAGCCTATCAACAAAAGGCCATTGCTGGATGAGAATTTGTCACATGCAGCTGTCAGTAATGCTGCCTTCCCACGCTGAGTCCTTGGTGGTTGTGGTGGAGAGTTGGGGTCATTTTGAGCTTCCGTCTGTGGATACTGTCTTGCAGGAGAACAGAGGCTGTGACCTGGGGGAAGAAGAGTGTTTGTAGGACTGAGTGGGGTCTGTGCTTGCTGTCTCCCTCCCACACCGGAGCATCTCCATCTGTCTGTGGATTCTCCTCACTGTGGTCCGGATGAGAACACCCCTTATCCTGCTGAACTGGATCAGAAAGGTGACCTCAGAGATGCAGCTGCCACCCATCCTCTGTCACTCTGCCTTGAATGTCCTTTGAATCTGCCACCAGCATCAGTCAAGATACGAGCTGATTCCCAAGGAAATGTTTAGGCTCCACTTTGTCCCTTGTGGTTAGTGCTAACTTAGTTGGAATCACAGGTTCTGGAAACGGGCAGCTTCATGGGTCAGGGAAGGCACCTCTTGGAAAGGGCAGGATGAGCCTCAGGCTCTGGATTGCTCCCCAGGCTGTCCACCTCTGCAGCCAGTGGGCCAGGGTGACTCTGCCATGGTCTCGCTGCTACACTCATACGCACAGGTGCAGTTGAAATGTGATGTTGAAGCCTGAGAGGTGAAGGTGGTGAGGAAGGTGCAGGGGAAGGCATTGGAAAAATGCTGCAGCTTAGTTGCTGGAGTGTGAGCGTGTCTTCCAGATCCACTCTGGGGGTCCCTCTTCTGCAGCCCTCCCAGGGGGCACTCATGTCTCCCGCACCCCATCCTTGCTCATTCCTCATTTCTTGGTGTTTGCCTTGCTCTGTACCTCATGATGCAGGTGCTTGTGTACAAATCTCCCCTTCCTCCATGTTGTAATCTTTTCAGAAGATGAACTCTGCTTTTTTATTTTTCTTATATCCTGGCCCTATGACTTGACAAAACGGGTGCTCAGTAATGGTCGAAAAAGTCAGATTTTATTTGCATGCCTTCTGATTTAGAGTGTTGGGAAGTTATTATTTTGATCCTCAGTTTCATGGAATTCATAAAACCAACTGTTCTGAAGTTACCTAAATTTGACTGATTGAAAAAGCAACAAACCAACCATGTGCTTGTTAATAATAAAGACACGTGTCACCATACCTTCTCCAGAAGCCTGGTTGAAGCCCTCAGATCCTCCTCGCTGGGACGGCTGGGGACACAGCGTGATGCATACCTACGTAGAGGAATAGGGAATGAGGCTTGTGGGCGGAGCCAGGGTCACACTGGGGCCGTCACAGCCACGGACAGGTCAGGGAAGACCTGAAGTCTCTTCCCACGGGCTTCCAGCACCATCCTCTTTTATTGTAAATTGTTGCTAGAAAAACGTATATCATATTTCTCCAAAAGGGCACATCTAAGATTATAGCAGTTTCACAGTAAGTAGTCTTTGTTGGAGTTAGCTAATATTTAAGGCCAATTAGGTAAATGGCAGTCTGAATTCAGCATCTTGTGTGTGTTGACAGATCTGGAAATTAACTCCTCCTCTTCCACCTTTGCTTCATTCACTCACTCACTTGGCCATTCTCTCGCTCTGCATGTCCGCTGGACCCATGCCCACGCTGGCAAAATGCAGTCTAGGCTGGAAGCTCTCAGGCGTGAGCGGCGGCTCACCTACAGCGTCAGGGGTCTTGAGGGAACACTGCCCGGGCTGCCGTGAGGGCGTGTGGCGCAGAGCTGCACGAGGGAGGGGCTCTTGGTGAAGCCTTTTTGCAGCAGCATCTGGAAGGATGAGTGGCAGATTCGCTGCTGGACAGAGGGCATTCCCAGGATCGGGTAGGGGACACCTTGAAGCAGCGGGAATGGGGGGTCAGGGGGACACAGCTCAGTTGGGCGCAGGGGCATTGCAGGAGCTGCCCTGCTCGAGGCTGGGAACCAGTGGTGGCTGCAGCACCTTTGCGCTGGGAAGGAAATTCCTGGGAAAGGAGACAGCTCCAGGACACTGTGGGCATTTGGTGCCTGGTCCCCGAATTCTGGCTGTCTGCTGGCTGTTAGTGCCAGGTGCCCTACTCAAGCAAGCTGTAGAGGGCGGCGGTCTGCTCAGCTTGTCAGAGCCACAGAAATGCAGGTCCATGTAACTTGTGAACAAAAATGTTGAACTGGCATCTGCCCGCAGCCACTGCACACCCTGTGGAGGCAGCCAAGTGAGTTTGCCATTCGCACCCACAGATGGGGCTGTAGGAATCCCAGAGCAGAGGAAGGGCAGGCTCCGGGTGGAGGACGTCTGGATTCTCGTGTGCTGGTGTGGCCGGGGTGCCAGAATGCTCGGTCATTTTCCCGATTCAGGAACCCAGAGCTGGCTTCTCTGGTTCTTCCTTCCTCCTGCAGTTCCCTGGCGGGTCTCACGAGCCCAGGCTGCTCAGAGCTACTGTTAGTGTCAGAAGCTGCTCCTCACATCCTAGTCATTTCCTTGGACATCCAGATGGTCAAGTGCTTGGCTGAGGAAAAAGCCTCAAGGAAAAGGCAGGGTCTGTGACGTTTGCCTGCCAAGCTGCAGAGTCAGGGCACAGGGAGGCACGGGCCACGGTGGCCTTGATCCAGCTGCGAGACTGTCCATGGCCCTTCGCCCACCTTGTCTCCTGCTCGCCCATCTACCTCTATCCGCTGAGTTTTCTGCCCTGTTTTCTTTGGTCATTGTCACCTGTGGACTAACTCTGCATGTGTTTGCCCCACCTGATAATTCCCCTGCGTTTTCCCGAGGATCACATAGGGACGGGTTGGTTCTGTGCCTCAGAGAGAGGGGTGTCCCACAGATTTGCATGGGAGGGTGGGGGACTGAGGAAGACTCCAGAAACACTCAGATTCCCAAACCCCAACCCTGATCTTTGGAGGCAGGGCCTGGGGTTGTCAGCAAGGGCCCTGTTGACTCTAACTCCTTCAGGGAGCCCCAGTGTGCCAGCATCCGGTAACCCGGTGACCTGGGTTACTGTGGCATAGCACAATCATGAAATCTTCACCTGCACCCCTGCTTCCTCCTGCCTCTTGCCCCTCTTCTGAACTTCCCTGAGTTGAACAGAAAGCATCACATGCACTTTACCAGCTGTCTGGGAATGGAGAGAGGTCTGGCACCCTTTGGGTCATTCAGGGACGCCCCATGTGCTGTGATCTGTGCCCCAGGCACCCAGCAGACTGGAGAGGGGTGGCCCCCAGCCCTATGGTGGGCCTGACCACACAGTCCTCCCCTCCCTGGCTGTCAGTTGGGTCTGGACCCAGCTTTAAAGCAGCCCTGAAGGCGTGGCAGAAGTGTCTTCCAGCAGCAGGGCCACATTGAGCCACGGGCAGCTGTCTCCACGGCTCTGCAGCCCACACTCCCAGCATGGGGTCATGGGGGCCTGGTACTCTGGCCTCTAAGGGACAGGCTAGTGACCTGATAACCACATGACGGGAGTTGTACCCATCAGTGCCCTTGTTCCCCTAAAGACCCTAAATTAAGCATTGCTTATCTATTTTGGTTTGTGTTGGAACATAATTTCCTAGCCTCTGTTTTTATGTTTTCACATCACTGTGCAAAGCCAACTCACACTGGGACCCAACCAGCAGGGGGCCAGGCACGCCGTGCCCATCAGTGTTTCCTTAGCTGAGGAAGCCAAGCTGTCACGTCGCCTTCTCTTAGCTGCTGGCTCTGGTAGGCAGGGTGCACAGCTTGCCCCACGTATGGCTGTGTTGGGTCCTGGTGTCCACCCTCGAGAGTGGGGCTCCCTGAGTCCCCCAGGGTCAGAGTTAGCATCTGGAAAGGTTAGGTCTCAGCCTGAGGCTTTGGAGTGCGCAGACGATGGGGCTGGACCTCTGAATGTGCTACTGTCCTCTGTTGTCCTGCCAGGGAGGACAGTATGTCCCAGTGATGGGAAGTCAGTTCTCATCTAAGCCCTCCATTCATGAAAACCCTGGAGCTTGCAGGATGTGGAGCGCAAGTGTGAGCCACCTGCCCAGCCTCTGCACACTGCCTGATGACCTGCCTGGCCCATCAGAGTTAACACCCAGGGCACGACTGTCTCAGAGCTGGCACTCATCAACATTGCACTAGTCATTAGTTGTCAAAAGGCATCAATGATCGGTTTCCTATCTTGGGGATTGCCTTCTGAACTGCCTTGCCTTCCGCACCTGTTTTGGGTCTTCAGGGCAGGGCAGCTGTGGGCACTGCTGCTTCCTGGTCAGTCGTGCTGGCCTCGGTGCCCTCCAAGCTGATGCATGCAGCAGTCTCCTTCTCCCGACGAAGGCTGGGGCTCCTTCCCAGCTCCAGGTCTGTGCGCCAAGTCTTATCTGAATAGGAGGGATGGCTTTAGGATGAGGGTGCGGGTCAGGGCTGGCACTGCTCAGATCGTTGCTAATTGCTGCCCTGAGGGGGTGTCCTGGCAGCATCTTGTCCCCAGACTTTAATTAACATGACTTGGTATGCTCAGGTCTGAAGCTCCATGGTCGTTTTCCAAAGAGGAGTGGTGCTGTAGGCAGGGCCCTCTGTGATGGGCGAGGGATTGTTTTATCCCCTCACCCCAGCTTGGCACTCAGAGGCCCTGGTACCATCAATCAGCTGTCTGTGGCCTGGGCTCCATGGGCAGCTGCCTGTGCAGTTAGTGCATGGTCATGGAGTCCAAGGTTAAAAATATTTCAGCCACACTTCATTGTCCATGTAAGGCTTTTAGGGCGATGTGCATGTACCATGAGCTATATGTCCATGTAAGGCTTTCACAGGCCACACACACGTGCCATGGGCTGTATATTCATGTAAGGCTTTCACAGGTCACACACATGTGCCATGGGCTCTGTCCGTGTAAGACTTTCACAGGTTACACACACGTGCATGGGCTCTGTCCGTGTAAGGCTTTCACAGGTTACACACATGTGCATGGGCTCTGTCCATGTAAGGCTTTCACAGGTTACACACATGTGCATGGGCTCTGTCCGTGTAAGACTTTCACAGGTTACACACATGTGCCATGGGCTCTGTCCGTGTAAGACTTTCACAGGTTACACACACGTGCATGGGCTCTGTCCATGTAAGGCTTTCACAGGTTACACACATGTGCATGGGCTCTGTCCGTGTAAGACTTTCACAGGTCACACACATGTGCATGGGCTCTGTCCGTGTAAGGCTTTCACAGGTTACACACATGTGCCATGGGCTCTGTCCATGTAAGACTTTCACAGGTTACACACATGTGCCATGGGCTCTGTCCGTGTAAGGCTTTCACAGGTTACACACACGTGCATGGGCTCTGTCCATGTAAGACTTTCACAGGTTACACACATGTGCATGGGCTCTGTCCGTGTAAGACTTTCACAGGCCACACACATGTGCCATGGGCTCTGTCCGTGTAAGACTTTCACAGGCCATACACATGTGCCATGGGCTCTGTCCGTGTAAGGCTTTCACAGGTCACACACATGTGCATGGGCTCTGTCCATGTAAGGCTTTCACAGGTTACACACATGTGCCATGGGCTCTGTCTGTGTAAGACTTTCACAGGTTACACACATGTGCATGGGCTCTGTCCGTGTAAGGCTTTCACAGGCCACACACATGTGCCATGGGCTCTGTCCATGTAAGACTCTCACAGGTCACACACATGTGCCATGGGCTCTGTCCGTGTAAGGCTTTCACAGGTCACACACATGTGCATGGGCTCTGTCTGTGTAAGGCTTTCACAGGTTACCTGTGTATATCATAGCTCTGTGCTGCTCAATGTTCATGCTGTGTCATAGGTGTGGTGGGTGGGCCTGGCACAACCTTTCAGGAAGGCCCAGCAGCATCTGATTAAACATCTGACTCCAGCATGATCCTACAGAAGCAGGAGAGCCACAGGATGAGCTGGTTGTCCAGTGATGTCCAGTGTGAGTGACCTGATCTGTGGACGCAGAAGCAGGGGAAGGTTCTGAGCACCATGTCTCACACATGGTATGTCATTTGTGTGTCTGCTGGACACATCTGTCTGTGCAGTCTATCACAGTGTGTTAGGTCCACGCCTGTCACCTGGACACATGGCCAGGACCTCAGGGAGGTGAGCAGTCTGTCACAGTGTGTTAGGTCCACGCCTGTCACCTGGACACATGGCCAGGACCTCAGGGAAGTGAGCAGTCTATCACAGTGTGTTAGGCCCACCCCTGTCTCACCTCGACACGTGGCCATGACCTCAGGGAGGTGAGCAGTCTGTCACAGTGTGTTAGGTCCATGCCTGTCACCTGGACACATGGCCATGACCTCAGGGAGGTGAGCACCACCGCAGAGCAGCATTCAGGTCCAGCACCTGGAGGTGTGTGTGCGTGTGTCTATGTTTCTGTGTGATCACAGAGCAGGTTGAAGGACTACGGACTCTAATTAAAGAAGCAGTGTGACTGTCAGCTTTCTGCCAGTGGAACCTCTCAGCATTCTGGCTTTCCTGGAGGGGATTGGCAAACCCCAGGATCTGTGTTTTTTGGGGGTGCCTGTGGTATTCTCCCATCCACATTCCCACTTGTCAGGCCTGCCTGTCTTGTTCGCAGGCCGCTGAGAGCCTGCTCGTGCCCTGCCCTGACTCTGTGTACCCTACCCATAGGCCCCCGCCTGGAGCTGTTCATGGGCATGGAGGTGTCTGCCTGCTCCATGGGAGGCCCACCCTCTGCCTCTGTAGGTCCCACTCCCCCCAACCACATCTCGGGTCCTTTGGCTCAGAGGGCTGAGCTTGGTGCAGCCTGTCCCTTTCTCCCCTGACACACATGAGGTGTCACTCCATCCCTCGCTTGGAGGTGTTGGGTGTGCTGCTTGCATGTCCAGTGTACAGCTTTAGCTTTCTTTTTCCTTTCTTTCTTTTTTTGTGATTTTTCCAAGTGTGTGTGTGTGTGTGTGTGTGTGTGTGTGTGTGTATGTGTGTGTGTGTGTGTATGCTGCTCCAGGTGTTTCCCACCAGTCCTAACACAGGAGAGCATAGCAGTGGCCATGGCGGACAGCAAGGGTGGGAAGGTGGGGAGGGGTCCTGCTGCACCTTGTATCCAACCAACAGATGGTCCTGGGCTGACTGCCTCTTGTGATGAAGTGGAGAAAGTGACAGTATGCTTCTCAGGATGAGCAGCAGGTTAATGGGAGCAGGTGCTTGGATGGTGTCTGCCCGTGGTGGGTACTGCACACCTCCCCTCCCCACGCCCCTTCCCTCTTTGCCACTCGCCTTCACTCCCCAGCTCTCCCCTCATGATCCCCCTCAGACAGCATCACACGCTGCCTCAGAATTCAATTGTGCTGAAATTTCCAAGCTGAACTCTTTCCCCTTGAAAGCATAGTAATTTTGTGAAAAGATGCCCTTCTGGCCACTGGGGGTCATAACCTGATATGGATCCAAGTACAAGCTGAGCACCTCACTGGGGAACAGTGGAGTAAGTGAGGAGGGCTGCCCGGAGCTGAGGGGGTGACCGAGGAGGGCTGAGGGAGTGACCGGGGAGGGCTGAGGGGGTGACCGGGGAGGATTGCAGAGCTGAGGGGGTGACCGAGGAGGGCTGAGGGGGTGACCGAGGAGGGCTGAGGGGGTGACCGGGGAGGGCTGAGGGGGTGACCGAGGAGAGCTGAGGGAGTGACCGAGGAGGGCGGAGGGGGGGACCGAGGAGAGCTGAGGGAGTGACCGAGGAGGGCTGAGGGGGTGACCGGGGAGGGCTGAGGGGGTGACCGGGGAGGGCTGCCCAGAGCTGAGGGGGTGAGCGAGGAGGGCTGAGGGGGTAACCGAGGGGGCTGCCCGGAGCTGAGGGGCTGACCGAGGAGGGCTGAGGGGGTGACCGGGGAGGATTGCGCAGAGCTGAGGGGGTGAGCGAGGAGGGCTGAGGGGGTGAGCGAGGAGGGCTGAGGGGGTGACCGAGGAGGGCTGAGGGGGTAACCGAGGAGGGCTGAGGGGGTAACCGAGGGGGGCTGCCCGGAGCTGAGGGGGTGATTCTGTGGCATATGTGTGAAACACAACTATTTACAAAAGTTTTCAGATTTAAATATGTGTGTCAAAAAAAAAAACCTGTCTCTTGGCAAATCTCTTTGATAGAATTTTTTGCTTACTCACTGCTCCCTTAGGTCTCCTGCCATGCAGACGCCCCTTTCCACGGCCCCCCGTGGAGTGCCCTAGTCCTGTACAGCCCCTGGTAGCATCCCCCAAGTGACCCGAGAAGCTAAGAGTTCATTTTTACTTTCCAGTAAAATGGCAGTTTCAGGGGAGGTTCTCAGGGTGCCTCATTGAATCAGAGTCCCAAAATATAACTCATTTTCCTAAAAATTGCAAGGGGCTATTTTTAAATATTGTTGCTGTAGTTTGACACTTTGTGTCAAATTCTTTAAATTTTAAACACCGGAAAAGAGCAGTCAGTCAAGCTTTTGCTACACTAAGGCAAAAGACTCATAAACATAGAATCAGACAGTGATGAGGAGAGACCGCTGTAAACAGCAGACAGGCCGAGACTCAGGGGGATTACTGTGAAAAGCTTGTGCCTGAAGGCCTGGGCAGCCGTAGAAACGGATGGATTCCTAGACACATGCAACCCACTTGACTGAGTCCTGAAGAAATATTGAACACTAAAAGACTCCTGAGGTGGGAAGCGCACTGAATCTGCAGAATGCTTCTCATAAAGGGAAAACCTGTACTTTGTTGCTGAATTCTATGCAACATTTAAAGAGAAATTAATGCTAATCTATGCAACATCTTCCCCCCAAATGAAGGGCACTTTCATACTCGTTTCATAAGGGTAACATTGCCTCGACCAAGAAAAAAGGAAAAAAGCCACAGGCCAATATTTTACAAATATCTTTAATGAAATTTTAGCCCACCAAATTCAGCAGAGCATCAGAGGGATCGTTGAGCATGATCAGATGAGAGTCACTGTGGCAGCGCGGGTCAGTGTGCGAAGATCTGTAAACGTGACACGCAGTACTGACAACCTGTGGGTGCAGAGGCAAGCTAGACAATGAGGAAATATTTGTAGCCACGCAACTAATGTGGAATCAACAACCAAAATATGTAGGAATTCAGATCACTCAAGGCTTAGCAAAAAAATAATGGTTCTGTATGGACATTTCTCAAAAGATGGGCAAATGACTAAGCACAAGTACTCAAGGTTGTTAGTTGTCATAGAAACAAACATTGAATCCATGATGTGGTATCACCTTATATCTATTGTTTTTTTAAAGATTTATTTTTATTACAAAGTCAGATATACAGAGAGGAGGAGAGACAGAGAGAAAGATCTTCCATCCGATAATTCACTCCCCAAGTGACCACAACAGCCAGTGCTGTGCTAATCCGAAGCTGGGAACCAGGAACCTCTTCCAGGTCTTCCATGCGGGTGCAGGGTCCCAAGGCTTTGGGCCGTCCTCGACTGCTTTCCCAGGCCACAAGCAGAGAGCTGGATGGGAAGTGGAGCTGCTGGGATTAGAACCGGTGCCCATATGGGATCCTGGAACGTTCAAGGCGAGGACTTTAGCAACTAGGCCATGGCGCTGGGCCCTATCGTTTTTCAAAGGCGAAATTTAACAAGTGTTGGACAGGATGTAGAAGAAGGAACCTTGCTCACTGTTAATAGAGTGTGAATTGGTAAAGCCATTGTGGGAAATGGTTTGGAGGTTCCTCAAGGCATTAGAAAGCAGAACTGACTTGTGACCCAGCAGTTCCACTGTGGGCATGTGTCTGAGGGGCATGGGATCAGTATGTCAAAGTGGTGTCTACACGCCCATATTCGATCCAGTATGTGAAATACATATGCTTTTAATTAAAAGGACACACACAGAGTGAAAAATGATACAGGCCTATCAAGGAAAAAAGACCTACTGCATGTGACAGCATGGATGAATATAGTTGTGTCAAGTGACACAAGGCAGTTCACACAGATGCAAACACCACGTGGTCTCAGACATCTGTGAGACCAAAAGAACTCACAGGAGTGGAGGGAGAATGGCGGCAGCCGGAGGCAGTAGGAAGTTAGGGGATATTAGACAACGGGTGGAACATGTCCATTAAGTAGGAGAAGTCACTTTGAGGTATCTATTATGCATTGTGATAACTATAGTCAGTGAACACATTGTATTCTAGAAAATTACTAGAAAAATAATTGATATGAGAAAATGCATGTCAACTGTCTTGATGTAGCTGTTCTAAAATTATATATATTTCAAAAAATGTTGTATGTTATAATGCATGTCAACTGTCTTGATGTAGCTGTTCTAAAATTATATATATTTCAAAAAATGTTGTATGTTATAGATGCATATGCATTTTATTTCCCAATTAGAATATGTTTTTAACTCCCTAAAACCGAATTTTTGCATTTCCATAATAAAATCTCCGAGTGACTGATATATTAGAAGGGAAGATATTAAAAGTTAAATATTCCTTTTAAATATTTTATATTCACTAAAGATATAGTTTTCTTTCTGTTGCTTCATTTACTCATGAAAACCGCACGCAATTTGTCTAAATATTCCTTCTTTTTGTAATATTTAATTTCTTCAACATATACAGACTATATCAACATTTTTGAACCATCTGAAATACATTCTGCTTTAACATTATATGCTATTACAAATCTTTAAATATTTCATATTTTAAATAAATCTTGATGATTTTTTTTCCTTTTTTATGACCATACCTATTCCATTTCATGTGCTCAAAACTGTCACAAATGTAGAGAAAAGTTTATTCTGCACCATTTTTGAAAACAGCAACGCTTGTTAACCACCCTAGCTCATCCTGCAGTGACGTGTGAGTGGGACCAGGAAGCTTCATGACTGACAGTTATGTTGCTAAGCTAGTCTGAACAAGTCCTTGGTCAGCACACTATCAGTGGCTCCCATTCGTTGATTCACGTGAAAGCCCTGACGTGTTTCCATGAGGTTCCCGCACCCCAATCACAGATCCTAATTCTGTAGAACAGAGACTAGCATGGAACTGGGGTTTCAGCCAAAGCCACAAGTGAGCAGCTGAGGGGAGAGCCACTGTTTGGACCACAAGTGACGCGTGCAGCTGAGCGAAGAGCATTTGAGACATTTGAGAGGGACCAGGAAGCTTCATGACTGATAAGTATTTTGCTAAGCTAGTCTGAAGAAGTCCTTGGTCAATAGGCCACTGTTTGGAAACAGACACAGACTGAAGGTTCAGAGAAGGGAGCGGCACTCTGGGGGGTGAGGTTGCTCACAGTATTGCTGTTCTGGTCCATGACACAGTCCATGACACAGCAGCCATCTGGGCATGCTCCGTGGCATCATCTGGGCCCTGGCCAGCGTGCTGAACTCTGAGGGCGCAGGCACTGCCTGGCCTCTTCCTCACGGAGGCAACATGTGCCGGCCAGGGGTTCAGGAACATGTGGCTATCACATGGGAACAACTGGGAGGACTGCCAGGCAAGTCCCTCTTCCTCATCACCTAAGACTACTGGACAGTGCTCCCAATGTGGAGGGAGACATGAGTTTACACAGACTTTCTGCAGGTGAACAGAAGAAGGTGCAGCCGGTTAAGTTAATTGACAGTTCCAGGGCCTCACAGATGTTCTTGTTTAACTGAAGTGTTTGCTGCTGTGTGTGTTTTCTTTCAGCAGACAATGGACTTACAGCTCTTAGTGTAGCACACACACTTCCCAATCAACTTTTTTAATGCAGCGAAAACATCCTTGTTCCTGAAACTGTAGGCAAGGGGGTTCAGGAGAGGAGTCAGGACCGTTCCAAACAGAAAGAGTCCCTGATTCAGCTCTGGGGTCTTGGCAGAGCCGGGTCTCATGTAGATGAACATACCTGGGCCGAAATAGAGACTCACCACACAGAGGTGGGAGGAGCAGGTGGCCAGAGCTTTGCTCCTGCCTTCAGAGGAGTTCATCCTCAGGACAGCCAGGAAGATGAGAACGTAGGAAGACAGGATGAGAAGCAGGGGCAGCAGGAGAACGAGGATGCTGGTCACTACCACTGCCTTCTCATAGACCGAGATGTCCTCGCAGACAATTCTGAGGACAGCCATGACCTCACAGAAGAAGTGGGGGATCTCCCTGGGGCTGCAGATGTGGAAGTGTAGGGTGAAAGCCGTGTGGCCCAGCGAAGTGAGTGCCCCCCCAGTCCATGACACAGCAGCCATCTGCAAACAAACCCTGGGACTAATGATGGTGGGGTACCGGAGGGGCTCACAGATGGCCACGTAGCGGTCAAAGCACATGAGAGTGATGAGGATGCATTCTGCGATGGCCACGGTCAGGGAGAAAAAGATCTGGGTCCCACAGGCCACGAACGAGATGTCCCGCCGGCCTGAGAAGAAGTTGGTGGCCATCTTGGGGATGATGCTGGAGGTCAAGGACAGGTCCATGAGGGACAGCTGGCTGAGCAGGAAGTACATGGGTGTGTGCAGCCGGGCGTCCAGCCAGATGAGCAGGATGAGGAGAATGTTGCCTGTGAGGACGGCCACATAGACCAGGAGGATGAGGGTGACCACGGCCGTGATGTGCCTGAGCTCCGGGAAGAAGCCCAGCAGGACGAAATCAGTGCCTGCTGTCTCGTTCGCAATGCTCATGGCTCTCTGTAGTCACCACTGAGATGCAGGGTCTATTAAAAAACGTCAATGTGAAGCATTAGTTTCTCAAGTTTGTTAAAGACCAATACTGTGACTGAACGAAGCGTATTCCTGTATGGCTGCTTGAATCAGTCCTGAGCATTTCTTCTGGTTTTCTTGGCCGTTTGTTACTTCCTTTAGAAATCTGGATGTACCTGTTAGGGCACAGCCCAGTAGTTTCCCATTGCTCTGCAGAAGCGTTCTGTGACTGTTCGCACAAGGGTTAAGGAACAATTTCTGTTTGTTTCCAGCTTTAAAAAGGGGGCGAGGACTAACAGAGGATTCTAAAATCGTGCTGCTGTACTAGAAACGACTTCATTGTGGGGAAGACTAGTCACCATGTCTGTGCCAAACAAGGCTGTCTAAGGTTTTTAACCTAATTGGTCCATTTTGATATCCAGGAATTCATTCATCCTCCAAGAGTACTTCAAAAAGTTTGCTTAAAATTGAATTAAAGTGTAACTAGTTTATGCAAAACAGATGTCCACCAACTGATGACCAGATAAGGAAGGTGTGATGTATATACACCATGGAATACTGCCCAACCAAGGAAGAATACACTCCTGCTTTTTGAAACTGCTGTGCTCAGTGAATGAAGCCAGTCCACCAAGACCCCACCTGTGCTTCACACAGAACACAGCCTGTCCTTCCCTGGGACTCCTACAGCCTCATCACAAACACCCAAGATACATGGTAGGGACAGCTGGAAACCAAAGGTGACCACAAATATAGTCGCCCAAATTCTAAAGAAGAAAAACAAATTTATTCTAACAATGTATTTTTATAAACAGTATTACTATAAGATTAATGTGAAGTAATATTAACCTAGGATGTTTAAAACATTGGCTCAACTCCTTAGGACAAATTAGAGAAAGAAATATGTTCTGTCAGTGTTGTAAAACATCAAATTAGTCACCAAACGTAATTTTAAAGCAACCTCGTAAAACCAATAGCGGAATAAAACACCGCAGTTGACTCTTCCGTTATCTCCTTGGCAATCTGTGGCACTCACATCTTCACGAAATCATTGAAAAGACACTTTCTAAATGATTGGGCTGCATGCCAGGCTGGTGCCCGGGCAGCATCATTCAAAGAAGGGCCCAGATCCTGATCTCATAGAAAGTGCTAGAAGCGCCCACTGACTCCCCTACCCTCTCTGATGAGTGAAAGTGGAGCTCCAGTGGGTTCCTGGCACTTTTCTGGTGCTATTTGGTATCTTCCCACATGCATGATTTAATCTACTCGTGAAAACTATCAGAATCCAGGATATGCTGTCCCCGCACAGCCACAGAGACTCAGTAAGTTTCCATGAATCGCCCTCAGACTCCTGCTGTCTGGCACTGCTGGGTATCTGCCAGTCTCCCACCAAGAGCCAGCTTTCACGTGAGCATTCTGAGGTCACCGTCAAGTTGAGAGATCATACGAATCGTGGTCCACGGTCTGTGTGTTTGGGGGTACTTGAGACACTTGATGAGTTTAGAGGAGGAAATAAATTCTGAATAAAAAAAAATGATGTCACAGAAGCAAAGAATGGAACCTTGGTTTGGGAAGGACAGGGGAGCAGAAGGCGTAGGGAGAGGCTGGCCAGGGTGCAATGTGACCACGCTATGGGAGAAATGAGCTCTAGGGTTGTACACCTCTACAGAACCCAGCCCGGAGACGGTAGTTACTCATTGCCTGTTTATTGTCAAATAGTTTGAAGAGAGGAGTCTTGAATAGCCCATCACAGCACGTAGCATTTACCTGGATTTCATCATTGTGACATGGATATCTGTATTGAATTATTGTGCTGGGTCCCATAATATTCATTTTAATATATAGAACATATGTATTTAGCACACAGATATGTGTAATTGTGTATCCACTTTAGAAACTCAATTCTCATGACCTGGTTTTTCAGCATTCATCTTACTCTCTTCTGCTTTGTAGGGAGTTATGGCATGGCAAGTGAATGGTTTGTGCCGGACCTGGCGTTGTTCACTGGTGAGGCCCTGGGATTTGAGAATGGCCAGGTCTTCCCAGGGAGGAGACTAACTGGATCCTCACACGGCTTCCCAGCCAGACCTCCCTGACAGCTCAGGTGCCGCTGCCCAGGACCTGTTGGTAGCCTGGGACTTGGTAGAAACTATCATGGGCTGTGCGGAAAGCTGGGTTGTAGGTGTTCACCTCCATCTCACTGCTGCCCGGCCAGGCACATGTGCTGGAAGGAAGTCTGCAGGCCGTGTCCCGCCATTTCAGGTCTGCAGTGCTGCCTGGCCAAGACACAACACTGAGAGCAATTCAGTAAACTTTGGTCCTTCAGACTGAGGGCAGTGTTTGGTTGGACGAGACTTTCGGCAGAATTGTATTTTAACTAAAGGCAGTGGTTACTTTGCCCCGTGGTCCCTCCTGGCTTCCAGGCACTCTGCAGTGCTGTGTTTGTTAGCAGTGACACACAGCTTGGCCTGCTCCTGGGCAGCTACCTTGACCAAGACCGAACCTGCTCTCAGCTACTGACAACTGACGAACAGCATAGGGCATGCGTTTTCACAAACCAGAAGCCTTGGGGCCTCCCGTCTCTGAACGCTTACCTTTCTGTGCGTGAAAGTGCAGAGTATTCAGAGTTCCCTCTGCCCGTGGATGCTTGTAACAGGGGAGAAACGTGAACTATCGCAGGAGGAGATGGACAGTGCAGCAGCCGTTGAGGGATCTCAAAGCCCCAGGCCCCTGAGCCTCATGGCTGGGGAGGTGGCTGGTCAGCCAGCTGCCAGCTCAGCCCTGCAGCTCCTCATTACGGTGGTGGTTCCTCGTTAAGGGCGCAGGTTCCTTGTCCTGGAGGGATCCTCTCCCTGGGACATAATTAGGGCTTTTCAAACCAGCTACCAGCCACATTCCCCGAGGTTTGCTTTTGGTTAATTTTTGGTCAGCACTGCTGTCATTTTCCAAGGGCCCAATTAGACTTTGCGTTCATTTTTTGAAATCCCTGATCTCAACCAGCAAGTTCCTCATGTTTTCTTTCTAGTGTCTTACTTGTATCCCCTGGACCACTAACTCCTCTCTAAATTATGAATTTTATTCTCTTTTCTTAGATTAATTCTCCCCTTATTTCAAGGTCAGAACAAAGTCTTGCAGCTCTATTCTGAGATCGACACATTAATGCCAAGGGTCTTCTTAGTTATGACCCCCTTCTCTGGGTCTCCACGTCTCACACCCATGTGTGCTGTTGCTGATACGTTCCCATTCTTCAAGTTGGCAGTGGCTAAGGAAACCCTGGGTTCTGTTCCATCCTCTTTTTGTTCCTCTTTCATGGTAGAGAGCTAGGCTTATCAATGGCTTAATGTTAGTAACATAGTTGTCAGTAAAATCAACAGCATCTATGTTGCAAATATCTTCCAATTAAATGAATACCTTAACTCACCAAAACATGGCCACCCTATGATGTAGAAGATAAGGAGTGCAATGATGTGTGTGTGTTACCCTAAAAGCAGATGGGCTGTGCAGTGACAGGTGTGTGAGAAGGTGCTGCTGTGGAAGAGGATGAGTGGTGGGAGGACACAGAGGGGTGTGTAGGAGTCACCAGAGCAGTGATGAGTGGTGTCTTGGTGGAGGGGTGTGTGTGTGTGTGTGTGTGTGTGTCTGATCTGTGGCCGGGGTGTGGCAGGGGTGTGTAGGAGTCACCAGAGCAGTGATGAGTGGTGTCTTGGTAGAGGGGTGTGTGTAGATTCTAGTACGGCACAGTGTGAGTGGTGGTGGTGGGGTGTGTGTGTGTGTGTGTGTGTGTCTGATGTGTGGCAGGGGTGTGGCAGGGGTGTGGCGGGGGTGTGTAGGTGTCGCCAGAGCAGTGATGAGTGGTGTCTTGGTGGAGGAGTGTGTGTGTAAATTCTACTATGGCACAGTGTGAGTGGTGGGATGTGTGTGTGTGTCTGGTGTGTGGCGGGGGTGTGGAGGTGTCGCCAGAGCAGTGATGAGTGGTGTCTTGGTGGAGGGGTGTGTGTGTGTGTGTGTGTGTGTGTGTGTCTGATCTGTGGCCGGGGTGTGGCAGGGCTGTGTAGGAGTCACCAGAGCAGTGATGAGTGGTGTCTTGGTGGAGGGGTGTGTGTGTGTGTGTGTGTGTGGATAGATGTGGCTGTGTCGGAGGGTGTGTGGTGTGATGTTGTGGACTACGTGGACATGCTGCTGTAGTGTTGAAGGACAGTGCCCCGAAAACCAGACCTGAGGACTCTGGATCTCAGACGTTCTTGGCAGACTGAGAATACTGCAGGGAGCAGACTCCCCAGTGGGCTTTGCTAGTTAGTGTGCCTGGGGAGGTGCGAGGCATCTTCGTCATCTCCCTCTTCCTTTAGTGATTGTGCTTGAACGTATCTGAGTACTAAGTTCTGTTAGATTCCTTTTCTAGTTAGATCTGCTTGTTTACCAGTATTGCTTCCTGTGACTCATGTTTACTCATATGGTGGCTTGGAGACTGGAGATGGTTCTCCTAACCCCTTGGGGAAGCAGTTTGTGTGCCATTGATCAGTTAACTTTAACCTTTACCAGCCTGCTTGCTTTGCAAAAAACTGGCATAAATTCCCTAGAAAAATTCAGTTCATCTCCTCTTTGCATTCCCTGAGTCCTAAAGTTCTCAGCACAGACATCACACCTTGAGACCCCCAAGACTGTAGCAGCTTCATGGCGTGATGCTGTTGCTGTCTGTGTGGGTCCTGCTGTGGCGGAGATCACATGGCCTGTGTGCTGTGCTGATGGAGATGCTGCTGCGGTAGTGGATGTGTTTGTAGATGCTGTTGGAGCAGAGTGTCGGTGGGTTGATGATGATGTGGGCACAGACGCTGCCTTAACAATGAGTAAGTGGTGTGATGATGTATTTATGTGCAGTTGCTGTAGTAACAGCAGTTAAGCCGTAGGATGATATGGAGTGTATACATGTACTGATGTAGCAAAGTGAGTACTGGGGTGATGATGTGTGTAGCTTCCTGTTGTAGCAG